TCAGCGCGAGAGCAGTCGATGACCGCCTTGTTAGCGGAGAGAAAGTCCCAACCCAAAATGAGGTCATGGGAGCAGGAATTCAAAACTAGTAATTCAACGACATAGATGAGGCCATCAATCGCGATGCGAGCAGTACAGGCAGCGGCTGGCGTGACGTGCTCTGCGCTGGCTGTACAAAGTGATATACTTGCTACTGGCGTCATAACCCAGCACCTCCACCAAAATATAATGTAAATGTAAGGTCAACAGCGGTATCAGAGTCTGTACAAAAGCAGCAAGAGCTGGCCGGGTGTACGGGCAGCGTCGCAGCAACAACCAGGCAGTCTTCGCTCGTGTCTGGCGCCAACGTGTCAATGTCGCTTTAGTAGTGGGCATTCCTCTTCACTACAGTTCACTCAGCAAACTAGAATTAAGCAGCATGTTAGTATTTCATCGCAGGGAGACTAAGGAACATGGCTTACTTACAACAACCGGCATGCATATTCGAATTCATTAACATCACGAACACCAATGTACGATGACAGTGAGCTTAATAAAGCACAGAAGCATTTGGGATATGCACGATTTACTTATATTTGAAATAAATATGCAACTTACCTGCATGGAAAATCGATCACTGAGATACACGGTGGGCCTCGATCTGCACTCACGAAATCAAGACACCGTATAGCATAGCACTGAAAACAGCTCAAATAGGCTGATACTATTCACTTGTTACACTTTCCACAGATGAAACTGACTGAAAAATAAACTATTACATGCTCATGTCACGTAGATTCCAAAGGAAATTTGCAACTAACACACCAAACATACAAGTGCAAAGACAGACAAGTTACGACAAGAGCACAACATGTATTGTACTAAAACTATGGCGCTATGATGTCATAATAATTTATACATTATAAGACTGCTATTTCTTATGCTTTTACCTATAAATAAATAATAAAACTTTTTATCGTGTAGTAATTGTATTATTAAGTAGGTAACTATTCAGTATTAGTTTGAAAAAACATCAATAATAGATACGAGACTAATGCTACTGAGGAGTCAATGAGTATGGCGGCAAACTCAATGCTTGGCAATGCTCGGCGCCATTCAAGACGTAGCAAATGCGGCGTTATTTATGGAAGCGTTAGCCTCTCTAGCAGCATCATAGCAGACGAGAGCAAGCTCACTGCGATCTGATCGTAACAGAGATTGGAGAATAGTCAGAACAAAAATGCTCTTTTCCGCGGGCAATCAAGCCAGTACAGAAAACCAGCGAGCACCCTGCTGGTACCAGTACAGCCAGCAGGCAGCTTGCTGGGACCACCAGCAGTCAGTAGGCAGTGTACTGGTCCCAGTAAAGAACCAGTAGGCACCCTGCTGGAACCACCAGAAAGTGAATAGGCACACTGCTGGAACCAGTACAACCAGCAGGCAGCTTGTTGGGACCATCAGCAAGTCAGTTGGCAGCGTGCTGGTCTCAATAAAGAACCAGTAGGCACACTGCTGGAACCAGTACAACCAGCAAGAATCCAGCAGCTTAACTGTCGGTTCCATCAAAAACCAGCTGCTCACAGCAGAAAACCAGCAGGAAATTTTCAGCTGTGGCTTCATAATTAATTATGAAGCCACCTTGTAAATGTGCCTTCGTTTAGAATATAATAATATTGTCTAATTAAGAAAAATGAGCCCTTAAATTTACGTTGTCCTTGATTCATGGCGAGGGTGTCGGTATGGCGGACTTGATGCCTTTAAGGTGGTACGCGAGAGATTATTGGTCAGCAGCAACCATCTCATAATACGATCTCATACTACTACGTGATGCCAAATAGGCAAAAAAGAGTGTTACTGTTGGTGTTATGGCAATGAGTGGCGCTGGCTGGAGCTCCCACGTTTAAATTGCACATATATAGCACCCTATAAAGTGGACGGGGGATGACTGCGATCATAGCTCAGTGGTAGAGCATTGGACGCATTATTAGAAGGTGGCAGGTAATCTTTTCGTTCACTTTTCTTTCTTCACATTTCCATTACAAATACTTCTAATAACACCCACTATACTTTATCTGGCATTACTGTTTGTTAGTTATCCTTAATATTGCATCTAACAAAGAAAAAGAAGCCCTTAAATTTACACTTTGCTTTATGATACATAAAGCTGTGTTATTCTCTGCTAGCATGCCTGAATCGCAGAGTGGTCAGGATGCTCGGCTTCTGATCGCGAGTCCATGGTTTCGAATTTTGCCTTTTGAAGAGTTTTTTGCGAGAACTTTTTTAAAAAAATTGTCTTTTCTTCTGTGTACATTATCCCACTAATCAGGGTTATTACAGGCCACGAGGTAACGCTGAGTAGTGGGATTTGCCCAAATTTTGTGGCACATACTCATTCATGATAATGATGGTTTTTGGGCACGGTCACACATTTTATGCTGTGCTAGAACGGCCTAACTTGCTGTTAAAAACAAACTTGAAGGCACTTAAGGTTCGCCTTAGAGAGCTCAACTATGAAAAGAACTTTTGTGCGTGTAACATTGGCCGTTTGAAACTCTCCTAGAATCATGCCTAGTGCAGGTGCAGCTCTCTGTGCTATAATTCATCAGGTTGGGAATCGGTGAAGTACCCTCTGCATGTCTGTAAGACAATGCACAGTTCAGTGTTGTATGGAACGGCATTCCAAGGAACATCTCAGGAACTAGTTCCTTTCAGAAGGATCAGTGTAACTGTAATGGTAACTCATTACTGTAATGCAGGTTCTTGTGTTAGTAAGAGCTCTTTAGGTTTGAGCCTGTGAGAGTCTTAAAGAAGGACAACGCCGCTTGGTTGAACAAAACCCACTCAATACATTTAATTAAAAGGTAAAAAAATAAAAATCCCCCAAAATCAGAACACTTAATAAGAGGTTCACTGGACACGGTAAAACGCTCATATCGACGACCAAATTCCAAACCAATTAACTAAACTAAGCTATTCAATTCGAACACTGGTGAGCGGCGCAGTGGTGAAGAGTGTTTGGTCTCACCAAACGGAAATGCTTGACTTGTGGAGTTGACAGTGGTCAGCTGGTATTAAGCTATTCAGTTCGAACACAGGTGAGCGGCACAGTGATGAAGACAGTGTTCGGTCTCACCAAACGGCAATGCTTGACTTGCGGAGTTGACAGTGGTCAGCTGGTTGCGGCGAAGGAACGCTGGCTGGTGGGCGATGCGTCAAGAAGTCAGGGAAATCTGGCCAGGCAGCTCGATGTACAGCTTGGGCCTGCAGCCCGACTGCTGTTTCTTTTTGCCTGTCAGAACCGAAGTCCACAGATCCTGGCTGGAGTTCAGGACCAGATGGCTATGGTCCACTCTAGTGGGAACGCAGCGGTAGGAGGCCCCGGCCAGCTGAAGTCTTGGAGGCTCGGGTCCAAAACCCGACGGCCATCTTCAGTGCCTGGTCCGGTGACAATCTTACGCTTGCCACGTCCTCTTTCAACTCCCCTACTCTTCTACGGCACAGATCATCACATCTCGGGCACACCTGTTTACTCCTTATTGGTTCCATTAGAACTTCGTGGTCTTCGTTTATTGGTCCTTTCTTACATTCACACTTTGCCCTCGTGCCCTCGTGGCCATGTTCATGAACGTCATCTTGTGCCTCAACCACCGTTCATGTGCGTTCCTTATTCTTTTCCTGTTGCTCACTTTTCTAAGGTATGTACTTTAAATGCGCACTCAACTCATCACAGTTACATTTATGAGGGAATGGCATTCCTTTTGTAAACGTTTCACATCATTGAAAAGACATACATAAGTGCACGGATACTAAGTAGAGCGGTTGGACGACCACGTAAGGCCCATAAACCTACTGCTCACCAATCAGGTGACTACATTGCGTCGTGATTTTCACTTTAAGGCATCTGCGGGGGGCACAGGAAAGTGCCCGGCATCGAAATTTTCAACCACACGAGAGAAAAATAGGTTGTCTTTCTTTTGCGTTTTGTCTGAGCCTGTCTGGTCTGGGCAGCTAAGTGCCTTTCAAGTCTAAACACACGGCGGGGAACATTTACTTGCCATCTGAGTATCATCAAACTTTTTTCCAAGACCGCCATCAAAAAAGAGTGCCCTTTCTGTTTTACCCTGTTGACACATTTGTTCAGTGAATGGAAAGTCACTTTTTGTGTTTCTTTGTTTGTTGCATATTTGTGCGGTTCTAGTGTCCCCGTGACTGTCTCAGCCTAGAGAAAAGACACAAACTAAACAAGTTGAGGCACCTGCAGGGTTTTGCGATGTCTTTGAATGCCAGAGATATCAGAGCTAACTTGGCAGGAACCACATAATGCTCGTGGCTGCATAAAGTAGGTGAAACACCGACGCGAAAACCATGGAAACCTCGCATGGCGACCTGCCTGCATATGAATCGCCATATTTATGTTACAATAAAGGAACTTGCTATGAGAACTTGTTTCAACGTTTAAAATAAATGAGCTTTTGTTCTTGTTTTACAGGAACTTCGACTACTGTGCAGTAACGCACTTTGTTGATGTTGTTGCTGATGATTGAGTGTTTATGCCAGAACATTTTATAATGTGTGGGCTTTCAAACAACTGACTGGTGCACTTTAGTTGGTGCGACTCCTGGTACAATTCTGCTCTTCTGTCACATAATATTGCACCTATTAATCGGACGCCTCTCACCATATGATGCCTGTAAAGGTTTTTTTTTTCCCTAACAGTTTTGGTTAGTGGTGTGACACTGTGGCAAAGCACATTGGTGCCTTGGAGAAGGCTTGAGTTCAAGTCCCACTGGAGCGGAAGATTTTCATTCTTGATTTATTGGAGTATATATCAATTTTTCACTCATAAACAACAGCTCTGTTGACACTGTAATTTTTTCTATATGAACTCTTTAAATGCTATTGTGTTAAGTAAAAATTTTTGCCTGATTTTTAATAACTTGTTTGTGCTTGTACCAGTTCACTGCATTTTTTATCATTGATGCTTCTAAAGTATTGGTGTTTTTCTTTCATTTATGATACAGGCAGTAATGAAGGCTCTGAGTGTCACTCGTGGCATTAACATGGACAAAGCCGAAGAAGTCTTGCTGCGAGCTGCGATTCATACCAGGGCTGAATCTGAAGCAAACAGAAAAGATTTCTGCTCCACTTCTTTAGATCCTGAAGCAGAGCGAGAACGTTCTGAGCGCGCGCATACTGAGCTTCGTGACAGTGGCATTGCAGATGACATTATTGCTGCGCTCCTGTAAACTCTCAAAGGCTGCACAGTTGTCAGCTGTTCTCTTCTTGTTCAGAACATATGTGCTTAAGTGACACTGACACAAAAGTTTTGTACGTTTTTTTTTTATGTAGCTGCCATGGATTCTATGAATGTGCTGCAAAAACTGAATTATATTCTCTTTACGTAGAAATCTGTTGAAGACATATCTAAAGCAGTTTGGCTTTATGAAAGAGTGTGCATTTTTGACTTCTCTCGCTCTCTCCACCCCCTCTTTTTTTCCCCTGTCTCAAAAAGTGCCAGCAGTGCTTGCATCGTATTGACAACCACTGGCAAACAGATCGAGTAGCCTCGTGGATCAAGTATAGCTAGCCTTTTCACTGAAAGCTTGGCATGCAACAGGACATCCATTTCTCTTTTGTTCTGCATTGGTTATTTGTAGATTATTATGGAACAAGTAGCACCCTTAACATTTGCTCTTTCCTATTGCCTCATTAAACCCTTCATTTATATTATTACCGTGCTTTCGCCTACAGTACTGATAAAACTTTGGCTATATCGTGGGACCAGAGCTCCAGATCAGGGCAACTTGGCTGCTTTGTCACGTACTCCATTTGAATTATGTTTTTAATAAACAACATTGAGACAGTGCTATTATTATTAATTTGTTATGTGTAAAGAACTAAGGGTTCATAATGTCATTATGGAATTAATTTGCCACACTCTAATTAAGCAAGGAAGAAACGAACAAATATTTTGTGTCAGTATTGTTTTGTTATGAAGCTGTTAGTCTCTGTATTCACATCTTTCGGGGCGCTTTCCAAAAGGTTGCATGGTGTTGCTTTAGAAGCATTTTGGATTGATTGCTTTGTTTCTTATCATCATAATCATATTGTTTGTGTAAAATATGGTCTTTCCACTGTGTTTCACTGTTTGTTTTTGTGGGTCAAGTGGGCACAATATATATTTTTTATATTGGTTTCAAGTTTGGAAAATTGTAGAATGAGATGCTTATTTGTGCAGTGTATAATTTCTTGAGCATTATTACTGCTAATGCATGTAATGAATTTGTCAATTAGTTCCTGTGCTCGTTTGTTGGTATGTTTCATGCACTATCAGCATCAAATGAAACCCGAGCAGCGGCAAGCCTTGTTGACAGTGTAGTGCACACCATCCAGTTACCAACGTTGACAAGTGCGCGTGTACTGTTTGGCAGCTCTGCGCATATCATCGTGCCTGTCCGTGGTGATAGCTGGACGGCACGCACTATACCATCGAAAAGGGTTGCAGCTGTTCATTTTTCTTATGATGCTGATAGTACCTTGAATATTTTTGTTTACATATTTCATTGAAGAAAGAGAGCTATTGCTTTGAAAGTTGTGTAGCATCTTTCAAATTATTTTGTCATTGCTTGTTTCTAAATAAAAGTTCAAAGTATTTATTTTCTGCCTAGCGTTAAGATAGTCAGATGAATTTCATTATGTCTCCTGCTTCAGGTACAGTGGACTCTCAGTAAACAAAAATCTGATAAACGGAGCTGCTGCTTAAATGAAACAACTGTCTATAAACGGAGCTGCTGCTTAAATGGAACAACTGTCTCTGATATTAGTTTCATCCCTGCATACTGCACCCCTGTTCACCTCTCTGTAAATGAAACTCCTTTTAAACGAAACACATTTTCCCGGTCCCTTCAGGGTTCGTTTAATGAGAGTCCACTGTACAATATTGAATCCTAGCATGCAGTTGCAGCAACCGGGAAAGTTTTCTTTTCCTGGTTGCTGCAACAGCATGCTAGGATCTACAACAATTTTACAAGCTTTACACAGCACCATTTCTGGTGGTACTGCTTCCAATCATCATGCATTTCTTGTCTTTCTGAAGGACTTCACATCTGCTGGGTGAAATTTACATTGTTCACTTTTTTTTTATCTAAAGCTTAGTTTTTTTTTTTTTTTATTCCCTTCAGCTATTGGTCACCAGTTATGCCTGCCTTAGTTGACCTTAGAAATGTTTATCACTCCTTAACAGACGGCTGCTTATTTTGACCTGGGGCCAATTACTTCAAGCACTTAGCCTCCAAGCAAACTTGCTGGTGCAATTCAAAAATATTTAGGCTAGTGGTTGCAGTTTTCCGCATAGTAAGGTCTCTGGTGCTGGGCCAGTGCTGATCTTGTATGAAACTGGGTACACATATTTTTAAATAAACAGTTTACTATGAAGCTGCTGTTACTTTTTCAAAGCTTTTCAGTTGCGGGTAATGAAACTTGCAGGTATAATCACTCAAATGTACCCAACTGCTCTTCAACATGTAAGTGTATGTGGGTGTTCCAGCTGGGCATGCCTGAAATGGCTTATATTTTTTGTGAATTAATCATATTTTATTCATCTATCTCATCTAAATTTGATTCATCCTATATGTGTATGTGTGCGACCTAGCACTGCCAGCTAGGCATGCATCAGTAATTATGTACAATTTAAATTGTTTATTTCATCAGTGCATGTTATGGTAAGTTACATTATGCCACATATGGCAGGTGTATTGTTGTCGTGTCACTTTTACCTGAATTGGTTTCTACAGTTTGGTCTAATGAATGCAGTAGACATCATACTTTTTTCATCTTGTTAATGTGTTCTTTTCATACTCCTAGATTTGGGATGTGTCTGGTAGCTGAGCATATCATCATCATACTTTTTTTATTACAACAACTAATAAAATGAAGATTAAGTGGAATATATTACTTTTTACTTACTTGGTTCACGAATAAGCAGACTCTTTCTGTGTGGCAAAGTTCTGCTATTAGCTACTGTTTCTTTTTTGTTTTCTTTTTCCTTTCGGTTAAAGCACAACACCCAAGATCATATTAAAGAGCAGCATTTGTTGCTGTCGTCTAGCAGTTAGAGCCATAGCGGTCGCATATTGATTGAGGCAAAATGCTAGACACTCGTGTACTGGTGTGACGTGATTGCTTGTTAAAGAACACCAGATGGTCAAAGGTTCTGGAGCCCTCCATTACAGCGTGCCTCATAATCATATTGTGGCTTTGGCATGTGAAACCCCATATATTATCATTAGTGAACAGCAGCAGAGAGCCAACTTTGCTGCAATTCATGCAGGATTTTTGTTCAACAAAACATACTGTGCTGTGTGAAAATTGAACTAGGTATGCAGTTGCATCTTGTAAAGGGGTTTTTCATTAAAATTTTTCTCGTTTGTCACATTGTTTTTATTGCAGGTACGCAAGTCATATAGACCCATTTTATTTATAAACACAGGTAGGCGGACGTCGACATTATAGGTAAAATTATAGCGACGTCCACACGTAACTTCCGCACACAATATTTGGCGGGAAAGCCCGACTCCATGCCCTACGCCATAAGCACTGAGGGCTGCGATGTGCACCAAGAAACAAAACGAAGTTGTGAAACACGACTTGCCATCACACTTTATGTTTCCTGCCAGGGATTACTTCAGGAGCCATAGATGAGCCCGAGTTGGGAACCAGTGCACCTGTTTCAGGGCTTCAGCACATTTCTTGCGATGGTCCTCGTCAAGTAGAAACCGATAAAAACTTAAGCTGCCTTTATTATGCCTTTCAGCACATCCAACCGCGATGCAGCTCATCGGCATATCGTTCTTTTTTTTTTTTTTTTTCTCGTTGCTTGACTGAGAACACTACATGCACCTTCGAAAACCCAGCAAGAACTGCGGTAGGCAGAGCATCTTCTGCCTACCAAGCGAAACCAAACGCCCGACGACAGCGCTACCGCATTTTTGTTACGTATGTCCGGTGGAATTTGTCTATATGGCCTGTAAGAGGCAACAATAAATTTTTTTATACCCTAAGCCCCCCATTTTCACAATGTCCACACGCTTACTATGATGATGACTGTAGCCCCATTGAAAGTGATGATATTGATATATTCAATATTATAATTTGCTAGCGAAATAATTTTTGCGCTGAGTGCAGTTTTGTACATCAATTTCTGGCAACAAATGCAATGTTTTAAGCAGTGGGTGTCAATCGGTTGGGAAAAATATTAACTAGCTGTGCATGTTTGTGATGTATTTTATTATAGAGACATTAAAAATAAAAACAGGTTTTATGCTTGCTTCTGTTAGAAGTCACAAATTTTTGCATTTACAATTTCTTTTTCTTTCTTTTGTTTATTGAAATAGAAAATAAACGAAGGAGTTTTTGTCACCGTTACTTGGCAACGGCTACCCCTTTCCACTTGATTGGTGCAAATAAAAAAATATAAAAAAACAATTGCATATATACATATATATATACAGTCCTACATGGGTGGGAGCAAAAGTTTAATATATATATTAAAATTTGAAAGGGCTCGGCATGGGGAGGAAGGGAAGTCTACAATCGGTCGGAGGGGGACGTCAGGCTTGTGAATATTTAGTAGTCCAGAAAACCTCGGTGCGGATCCGTTACGGCAGATTAGTCGCAGGTAAAGTGTTCCGAGATCCGGGTAATGCTTGAAAATTTCCGCGAGTAGCTTGTTTAGTTGTGTCTGGTTTCGCTTCGTTGGGTCCTTTACTAGCTGCGTGTATGCGTCCCCTTCTAGAAGAGCTGAAACCTTCCGATCGTAGTTTCCGCTGTCCACCACCACCGTCGAATTGCCCTTGTCGGCGGGCAAGATGACAATGCTTCGGTCCCGTCAGAGTTCCCGAAGTGCCTGGTTCTCCTCCATGGTCAGATTCTTTTTCCTTTGTAACGGTAATTTCGAAAGGATCTTAATTTATTTCAGCCTAATTTCTTCATGGCGCCCGGCCTCACGCTTTGGACGGCTTCCTCTACAGCCGCGACAAGTTTCGGTAGACGGGGCGTCGTTGACATGTTATAGCCATGTCCCTTGCATTTCCTAGTTAAAGCCAGAACTTAGAGCCTTCAAAGCCTTACGTGCGTATGTGCAACTTCAGATTATTGGTGATCGCGGCGTGTGCGATGTTTATCGCGTTCGTCATCTGTAAACTGTTGCACGGCACGCACCGCGGTCAGAGGCTCTGTTGAGCTTCATAATCAAAGTTACCATGGTTCTCCGTCAAAGCTACTTAAAACAATAAAAGGAGACATTATCACGCTTTCTCATGCGAATGGCTCTGGAGAACACGAGTATTCGCTTACCCGCAACGGCCCGTATCCGTTCTGCTTCGCAAAAGCTGCGGGAAAGAGTAAAACTGCATTTGACAACGCATCAGTACGTCGACTGGGGTCTTTTTTCATAGAGTGCGGAGCTGTTGCGTCTGCTCTTATTTGTTACCGTCGTTCTGGCGAGTGAACCAGCAAGCACTTCTCGGCGGTTCGGTGACGCGTCCGACTAGGGGAGAGAAATTCGTAGCTCTGGTGTTCATTGCGCAAATACACCTAAAATCGTTGATTCGTGCGCTGTAATTGCACCTGGCCGCCTCACCACGCGCATCCGGCATGTTTTAGCGCCCGCCGCGCTTGTTTAAACGTGCACGCGGCGCCTGCCACCTTGTCACCGGTCTAATTCGTCGAAGACCCGAAAGATGACTGCATGCTGCGTGTCACACTCATTCATTCACAAAACCTTATTTGTGTCCTGAAGCCCTGTCTTTTCAGACCGAGGTGGGTCGCGTCCACGCCGGTGCCGTCCAGCCGAGCCTTGTGGCGTCATCGTGGGCCTTCTGGACTGCCCGTAGTTGGTCTTGATAAGACGCGCTTCGCACCATCGTCTGCCAGTCCTGCCATTGTTCTTCGGGGTCGGCGAGAGTCGCGGGACAGCCTGCCAGCATGTGTCTGATCCCAATGACGCCATCGCACGCGTCACACTTGTCTTGAATTTCACTGTCAGGGAGAATTTTATGTAGAAAATACGGAGTTGGGTAAGTTCCGGTTTGCAGTAAACGTAGCGTGACTGCCTGAGCCCTAGCTATTCAATTTTGCGTGTGGCAGCGGGAATTGCATACACCCCAAGTAATAACAATTTGTGATGTCGTTGCAAGTGATTAAATTATCTTTATAACCCCACTCTAGAGTTACTGTATATATGCTACCTTTGTAGCATATACAGCAAGTCTATATCACGCAGTGCACGAACCATTTTAGAAATGCATGGAAGGTGTTTTCTTTCTCAAGCGATCTTAAAGCTAAACTTTATTGACAGTAAGAATACAATTGGCAGCCAAGGATGCCTCTCCTGTATGCATATTGCAAGTTTTGTTGCTGCTTTATATCACCTTTGCTACGTCGCGTCCTCGGGGACGATTTTCGAAACTGCGTGTATATTACTAGTAACACAGTCACTGATAACAACTTAATCAACCTTGGCCGACTGCCGACGATTGGCGGATGGCTGGCATTTATTCGGCAGCCGACTTCACTGGCCCCCAGCAGGGGCGGCGCCAGGGGGGGGGGGGCAAGGGTGGGCTGGAGCCCCCCTAAAATTCTCGCCTGCCCCCCCCCCCCCCCCCCCTAAGCACACCCAAGTGCCCGGAAGCATATATTGAAAACCTAGTAGGAGCAGAGCTAGCAACCGACGGCGAGAGCTGATTGGCTACTTGCGCCGAGGGACGCTCTGACGTCACACCATAGCAACGGTGACGGTGCCGCTCCGGACCTTGGCCGCGCGGGCTTTTCCGTCGAGAAGCTGGGCTGCACGACCATATCGAATCAAGCCATACGCAATTCGATGTGGCAATTCGATATGGAGGCTGCTTGCTCGCTCGTTTCAGCGATCGCTTTCCAGACTACAGTAGGCAGTGGAACCCAGAGTGCACCAGCGGCACGGCCTTGTTTAAGCTTAAACCGCGTAGGCCGCTGCACAAAAGCACGCAGAAATGTGGTTTGGTGTGAAGGGGAGAAAGATTCGTTCTGCCAGCCTCAAGGACCCCACAACCCGCGAAAGACTTAAAAAATGCTGGCCGTGGACAGCGGGAAGGAAAAGCGCACGTGGCCGTTCGGAGCAAAAAAAGTTAACCTCTGAAACAAAATTGTCATGCAAAACAAGAAAACGAACAAACCTATCAACTACATTTTAGAGAAACAATACTTCCAACTGTTCATCTCCTCTTGCTCAAGTTCGCGGATATTTATTTGTAAGATAGAAATGTGGTGTTTGAAGGGTCACAGCTTATGTACAACGCTGTATACCAGTTTCCTTTATTTCACGAGTTACACGTGGCATGATTGGGTCGCAAATCGGCCAAAGTGCGTGTATGTAGGCTCTGCGCAGTTCCGATTAAAGTTGATATAGGTGACATAAAGGCACGTGCTGGCTCCGGAGACTGCGCCGTGCGCATTATTGCAAAACTGTGCGCGATGGGAAACGCCTGCAATGCATTGTAAGCTTTAATTAATACGTATTATTTTATTATTATTTGCTGTTCGATAAAATAACTTAACGGGCGCTTTAGAGCATGTGGACCAAACTAGGTGATATAATAAAGGCACATGCTGGCTCCAGATACTGCGCGTACTTAACAAAGCAGCTCTCCGCGCGATGGGAGGCACCTTCAATGCACTATGAGCTACATCGGCCAGACAGGGCGCTGCCTCAATGACCGACTCAGGGAACACGAAAGAAATCTTAACAATAACGAGAGAAGTCATCTTGTTGACCACTGCGCGGCGTGCTCGAATTGTGAACCACGGTTCCGCTGCGCAAAAATCCTTGGCAGAAGTAGGCAAAAAACGGCCCGTGAAACCTTAGAAGCGTTTTTCATTATAAAAGCAGGTGAGGATTGTGTCAGCGACACTTCCATTGCGCTGTACAAAGCCGAAATTCAATTTCTGACGCGCCTTGTTTGAACGTTTTTTTTCTGTTTCCTGTTCTAAGGATCGCTGTGACGATGCGCCTGCGCAGCTTGCTGGTATATATACTTGTTGATCTGCGTTCAATAAATCAGTTGTTAGTTTGCGCCTGTGCTCGTCTCTTCTTCCCCTGTGTTGTGTGGTAGCGCTTTTACGATGTATTCCATGGCTTTAATTACAGCCCGTTATTTCGGTACCGAATGTTGCTGATAGGGTTTTTTTAATACAATTCAAAAAAGTTTGTGAACGGCGCAGCAATTTTTCGGCGCAAAATTGCGTAATGCTCTGGGAAAAGCTAGGAATACATTCCTAATTAAGGCAACTTTATTCACTAAACAATGCGCGTCGGATGCGATAGGAGATAGCTATGAGCTTTAAGTACAGCCTATGAGCTTTAAGTACTATGAGCTTTAAGCGCTATGAGCTTTA